CTGGCAGCACTGGTCAGTGAGATAACGTAATACTGCTGGCAGTCCTGGTCAGTGAAATAACATAATACTGCTGACAGCACAGGTCTGTGAGATAATGTAATACTGCTGGCAGTCCTGGTCAGTGAAATAACATAATACTGCTGACAGCACAGGTCGGTGAGATAATGTAATACTGCTGGCAGCACTGGTCAGTGAGGTAACGTAATACTGCTGACAGCACAGGTTGGTGAGAAAACGTAATACTGCTGGCAGCACAGGTCAGTGAGATTACGTAATACCTCTGACAGCACAGGTCTGAGAGATAATGTAATACTGCTGGCAGCACTGGTCAGTGAGATAACGTAATACTGCTGACATCACAGGTCTGTGAGCTAACGTAATACTGCTGGCAGCACTGGTCAGTGAGATAACAGCATGCCACAGCAGATACAGCAAAGACGCAGGCAAAACACAACAGATCATCATGTGACAACACAGCGCAGAACAGTGGCAAGACTCCTCAGAGTTGGCAAGAGGACACATACCACACAGCACAGTTACAAGAATTTACAGAAAAAGTCAACCAAGCATAGGTGTAGCAGGACTGCATTGATGCAACATAACGAAATAGTTGCATCATTGATAATTTGGCATCACCACAGTGAAGGCCTGTTTTTGTGCGCTAGATCAAGTTTATCATAGCTCTGTGTCTAACAAGACGTCTACAGATGCCAGGCATTTTCCTCACACCCGCTATCAAGCAGATTTATTCCCAATCAGTATTTTCCCATAAAATGAAACTTCACTTCCCACAGCACGGCAGGCAAAGAAAAATTTTCAGAAAAATGGTTGTTATTCTGTCATTTGTATTAGTACAAAGGACAGTTAACACACTGTTTTTGGGAGGTATATCCTTTAATATTGACCCGAAGCAGGGTGCCATTGGCTGCTGTTGACTTACCAGCTGTAGGGTGGCGAAGCTGTCAGCCTGTGGGACGGGGTGTTTGTGGAGGGCGGACAGCAGTTCTCGCATTTCATTGGTCTGTCAAACAGCAGCGAGTCGTGACATGAACAGGACATATTTCACAGGAAGCACGCAGGGAACATTCCTAATCCAGGGAATGATTATTAAAAATGACAGTGGCTTTACCTGTCCTTTAGTCAAATAGTCAGCCAGATTATTCAGGAGTTTGTAGAAGACCTCAAACCAGGGTAGGTAACTGCAACAAAAAGAAATGAGAGGCTTGAGGGGATGGTCTAACAGACTTTCTCCAGGAAGAAGTCCTGGCCGGAGTAATACTCTTCAATACAGCTCACTGTGCACATCAAATCGCAAAACAGAGTTACAGGAATAATTCAGAACCTCATCCTGAATTCTGGAAGCTGCATCATTGCACATGTAGTCTTCTCAAATCCCCTACACTCTACCCTTTCAACTACCCTTATAAGAGCGTGAAAGGACATTGCATCTTTTATAACCCTAAGCCTACATTTACCCAGTTAAGTTCCTACAGTGGCCTCAGCCTTCCAACAGGTTTCTGTATGAATGAAGGATCATGATACCGTCTTTGCTGCTTTGTTGTTCTCCTTATCCTAGCTCTACAGCCTTGCATCTGGCTATGAGTTTGGCTAAGTTGCTAGGTCTGAAAAGGGGCCTGAGAGCACTCAAGTGAACAAGGCTGATGGTGCCTAGAAGGTTGTGTCTCGTATGTACAGGTCCTGACCAGGAGGAGCCCATGTTAGCACCCAGGTTTAAGCATCAGATATGCTAATGTGAGAGATTTGCATCACGCGATGGACATGATGCACCAAAAATATAAAAATATATGTTTAGTTGGAGGGTTTTTCAGTGAAAGCCCTATTTCGAGAGGGATTCACTTTGAAATCTGTCATTGGAGGGCTTTTTCTGTGAAAGCCCTTTTTGGAGGGTCAACCTGTGATACCTCTCCTTGGAGGGTTTTCTGTGAAAGCCCTTTTTGGAAGGTGCGCTTATGATACAGTAGATCTCATTGGAGGATTTTTCTGTGAAAGCCCTTTTTGGAGGGTACGCCTGTGATAGATCTCATTGTGGGGTTTACCCATTACAGCACTCAATGGAGGGTGCACCTGTGAAAGCCTAACCAGTTGGTTTGCTGTTAGAGCACTAACAGTAACTGAGATAGTAGCAAGCTTATGCAGACTGATGGAAACATGAACTCCACTACACTTCACAACTGTGTCTAAGGATCCTACTGCAGTATTGTGGGAAACCCACCTGTACACTTTCACATATCCAGCAGGTGGCAGTAGATCTACAGAGACAACTGTTCATTTTTCAGTCAGTTTCATTTTACTTTACCTCAAGACGCAGAGACAGCTCTTAGACCCAGAAGTCTGACGGCAAAATCCGAAACGCTGACATCCTTCTAGATCGGTGAGTACAAAGGTGAAGTGTTGTACTACCATACTTGGTTTCACCCTGCATGTAACATAAAGAGTAATTGAGTTTTGAACCCATAAAGACAATAGGTACTATTACTATCACTATTACAGAAGAAAACAGGGAGAGTCCACCAGTCCGAGTCTGTAACAGTGCACTATGTCCATAAATAGAGTACCTTCCATGAACTGGAGGCTCATTAGCAAACAACATGTGACTTTACCTTTCTATGTCGTACGGGAAGCAGAACCGTGGGAGACTGCGAATGGATTCCTGAGAGAAGCAAACATACTTCAAAATTCAGGCTGCATCTAAGGGGTGATATACACAGCATCTCTGTCCTAACATCCAGCAAAGGGGGCCAAGACCCCAACCCTGACCTAAGTGTGTCCTCACTACACTACGCAACCAGTGTGACGATGCTCCTCATGCCTGTGCCGGGTGAGGGCTCT